GCTAGGTCTTATATGTATTAATACCAGCTAATACCCATTTAGCAGTTCAGAATTTATCAAATTCCCTCTATCTCTTTTTCATTTTCTTCATTTCTCTTACAATTTTTGAACATGAGAAAAGGAGTCTGAAAAAGTTAAAGTATTATAACTTGGCCAGAATCACAGGACTAGTAATAGCAAAAACCAGGTCTTCAGTAGTCTTCTCACTACAGCTCCTCTTTCTAAAATGTAGTACCTCCTGTTCCTCACATTTCTTAAGACTATTTTTTATACTTGGTTAATGATCTTTTTTATAATAAATTCTTACATTTACTATATTATTTTCTAGGTCTCTCAGAATGAAAACCACTTTAAATTCTAGATTATGCACCTTGATATTTCTTTGTTTCAGTTTGCATTTAGTTCCCAGTCAGACCACACTCTTTCTTTTGAAGGTATGCACTTCAGTTTCTAGCATAGAACTTGGGCTTCGCAACAGAGAGAGTAAACTCTGTCAGTAATTGTTTGAGCTAGAGCTTCAGCCCAAGTCCTACCATCTGGGGCAAGAAACCGAGGAGGCCAAGGTGCAAGAGATGAAAAGAGATAAGTTACAGTAAAATGCAGAGATTTGTTCAGATCTCCAGATTAGTAAATGTACTTCTAGCATATCATATCTCCTATAAAGCAGGATAACCAAAAGCAGCAGGAAAGCCTTCTGAGCTGCTGACACTGCAAGGTTGGCTGGGCATACTCATGAACTAAGCAACTTGCTTCTGAGTTTAAGCCTCACTTGACATAACAAAATTGCAAGTTAGCAAACAGCATGGAGTATAGAAATCACACTCATTTAGATGAAATCAAAATGTTAAATGCAGAAATGCTAAAAATTACGCTAAGCATAAAGGACTTATTGACCTTTATCTACTTACATTCCCTTGGCAAACTTGCTGTTATCTAAAAAGCATTCCTCAGTGACTCTTCACCGTTAAAGATGTTTCTGGAGAGTGTAAGATGCAAGTGTGTGTATGTGTATGCATGTATGTGTGTACTCATGCATGTGCACTGCTTGTATGTACATGTTCGTGTCTTACAATATAGGTTAACAATTTTCTTTGACCTCAAAAGTAAGGGCTGCGGTGCTAGCTCAACCATTGACCGGTTTGCTAGTCTGTCAAATCAAATCAAATTTTGCTGATTTGTCAAATTCAAATCAGAAGGATCTGATTCATGGGGCTGTTTCCATGAAGTGTTACAATGCTCATGAATGTACTCTACAATAGCATATATGACAGAGGACTGCCTTTCTCTCTCAAGATTTTATAAAAGAGCAAACAGATGTAAATGAACCTCTTGGGTGGTCTTTTGAAGGAAAAGAAGCCTGAGAATTCCCATCACCCTTCTGTTTCTCGCTTCTGATCCTGATGATAGTCTGCCTGGTGTTGATACTCTTTATGTGCCTGGCTTACTTCCCAGTCAAAATTGCACATTCCTTGTTTGCAGTGACTGTGCTTCCTTCACCTATGTTTCTTTAAAGAGCCATGATATAACACCCAATCACTTGAAGGGTAGAAAGATAGTCTTTGCCGGTTTAGTCTTCGTAGAGCAGAGGCATATTAGATTTATTTCCAATTAGCTTATTGATTTCAGCCTTATTACCTTACAGTAAGTAACACAGTGAAAACAGGTATTTTGGGCACTAGCTGGTAGGCCTGACTTCACCCAAGCAAGATTTCTGGAATTTCTTTCCAGATATCTAATTGTAATAGTCCTGACCCCTCCTTTGGGTCTGGTTGGTGTGAGAGTCAGCTTCTAAAATGGGGAAGTTTTAGAGACTGATTGTTTGTTCCTCCTCTTCCCAACTATGATACAGGCCACTGATCTCAGCTCTCTAGCCTCAGTTACCCAGCTGTAAAATAAGTTTTCTAATACCATTTCCATAGTGGCTCCATGAGGAATGGAGAACTGTTGAAAACACCAGTGCCTGCTCACAGGAGACCCTCACTCAGTATTCACTCCCTTCTTTCTCCACTGCCACCCTCTCCACCACGGATCCCACATTCCCACAGTCTTTACGATGCTCCAAACTTGTAGCTCGTGACATCTCTCAGTAGTAAACTCTTGAACTCATCATTAATAATAATTGCACCACTTCTGTTGTCCTAGCTGGCTTCAGCTCCAAGCTTTTCTCCTTCCCTGGTATCCTCAAACCTGGCATTGCTGACCCTTCTGACAACCTCCCTGACTCTAGAGGCTGTGACTCTGGGTGTGATGCCCACTGACACTGTGTCACCATGACTGATTAGCACAGGTTCTGTCAGCTTCACCCCTGCCTGCCCGCTTCATGGATTTCACTCCATATAGGAAGCATAGCTTACTACTAAGTGGAAAAAATGAGTGGAAGATTCTTAGAGATGGTATTAAAATTTAATTTTCATCATTAGTGAGTGGTTAGAGAAGAAGTAGACAAATCCAAAGGGCTGTCTTGAAGTGCATAGAGACTTTCACTTTAATCTAGCACTTGCTATGGTGCTCTCATTCTGGAAAGTCACTCTCATAGCATTCTTTTTGACATTTGGACCCATTTATTGCTACTAATTTGCATTGTCCTGTGTTCCTAAACTGTCACTACATCCTTTGTTTTGTTTGACTTGTTATTATTTTTTAAACATAAGAGTTCATTTTGAATGTGACTTCAATACGATAAATGTTACAGTTGTTTATCTGGTGGGTCTAATCTTGCCAAGGATAACACTGACTCAAGTTTAACAAACTCCCAAGTAAGCCACTATGCTCTTCATAAAAGTTGCCAGATATTCTGGTTATATGGCTCTTTCTCACCGTGTATATTATTGCTTCATAGTTCGAAGGCCAAGCTAGAGTTATGGAGGTTATCTTTGTTTTGTTGTTGTTGTATTTTAGCCTCTAATATTTAAACTGGTCACAGATATAAGCACTTCTCTCAGATGTTTTGATAGATCCACTCTGCTTTCTTTTCTGCTCTACCTTCATACTTTAGTCATTTGGTAACTACATTCTAAAATTATTTGGAAATACCAGTCTGTGATCTCAGAGCATGAAACTGTATGCATAAAACCTACGCTAGTGCCTTCTGACCTCCTGCATCAAGTCCAGAATTCTTCTCTGCTTTCAAATTCCCTTGCAAATCAACACCACATCCACCCAAATATTCCCTCAAAATTCTTCAGCATGTATTCTCTGATTTAGTCAGTACATTTTTAGTATAATTCCTACTGCATACTGCATACACTCTCAATTCTTGCCCTTTGCCAAGATCTTTCCCCAATCTAGAATTCATTTCCCCTTTGTCTCTTCCAGCCTCATCTTTTCACTACTGTTTAAAATCAGTCTTTGCCTGTCATGTTCACCACTATATTCCACTATACAGAAATTTTTCTGGCACATGACAAAGTCTCAGCACATATTTATACGATTACTTACTGAGTGTTCATCAAAGCCCACTTCGAAGCTAATCCCTTTCTTAACCTACTCTATTTAGTAGTATAGCGTGTAGATGCACTTTTCTTGTTGCATTGAACTTCCAGAGAGTTCCCGAGGCCGTAGAGTTCTCTGATAGGGCAGTGTCATTCTCATCATGTGTATTAATTAGTAATTTGTGGTTAAGGCATCATGTTGGAGGTCCCCGTTTTCTTTGCCATCCTGGAATACTTCTACACTGGGATACCACAAGAAAAGGGATTTTAATGTATTTTAGATTTTCTGTAATTTAAAAGAAGATTATCTGTACTCCAAAGATAAAACCAGTAGCAACTACAAGAGGAGTTCAAAAGTAACTTTTTTATAAAGGTCAAGTCAGGTCAGAAAGCAATTATATAAATTGATTCAATATCATATTGGACTCACGCAAGATTAAGAAATAGTGGAATTTTTCTTATTTTGACCATGAAGCAAAATAATTAAGGATAAAGGAACATTATGTAATTTATTATAAAATAAATATAGCTTAGCCCTTATGCATAAAAAAATCCAGCGGCAACCTCCTAATACTGAAATGACTCATTTACAAGCCAAATGTGAAATGGATATCAAAGACATTTGGTAAGTAGCATTCAGAGACAATCTCAGACTATCGTATGCTTGTCTATAAGATAGTCCACAACTCAGTTTACTAATTTGTGGGAAGAGTAACCTCTCTTTGTACTATCCCAGGTTGATTTATTTCATAAAAAGGGCACTCTTTTTTTCTGTCCTTATTGGAGTATAATTAACAAATAAAAGTTATACATATGATGTACAAGGTGATGTGACATATGTATACATTGTGAAATTGTTACTATAATCAGGCTAATTAATATATCTATCTACCTAATATAGCTACTGTTTTGTGTGTGTTGTGAGAACATTTAAGCTCTACTCTGATACTCTTCTTAATCCAGCTTGAATTCTTGGATGAAGGGAGACTTTGGTGACCTTTATGCTCTTCTCCTCAAAACCTTGAAAAGTGGTTTAGCTGGCATCATTTCAGATTTCAAAACACTCCTTTGTGCTGAGATTGTATCTAGAATGTATAGATCATGGCATTTTCCATAGAGAATCCTTTTACTACAGGCATTTCAGGCCTTGTCTTGAACTGTCCTTGTGCCTAGGGTTCCAGCAAGCTGGTTCTCTTCCTCTGAATCTAACGGGGCCATGATGTTTTTTACTCCTTCCTGGTAACCACAATTGTTTTAGCAAATGAGCCTCAAGGAGCGGAAAAACTGATCTTCAGCTGATGGGTCTTTTTGACAAGTTTAAAAGGCTTGCCTAAACTAGGAATTCTTTAGATCCTCACATTAGATTAAAGTATAAACATGATTACATTTTATAAATAGAGATTTTTGAATTAGCAAAACTAACAAAATTTAATTTCGCTCTTTGGGGCCCATTTAGTCTCTGGGAAAACAAATGATGTCTATAGTCCCCTTCTTTGAGGGGCCAATTAGATTAGGACATAGCAAAGCTCACTCTAGGCCTACTCTTTTCTTTCTTTCTTTTTTTTACAGTCACAATATTCTTCTCTATGAGGACGGGCATGCTGTGGTGGCAGATTTTGGAGGTGAGATGTCCGTGAGTAATACCCCAAAGGGCATCCCTTTTTTTCTTTGTTCCTAGTTGGCACCTGATATTGTACCATGCAACTGAAAATGGATTTCACACTGACAGCTATGCTACCCTAAATCTTTCAAATTACAATGACCCTACATTTTGAAAATCTGTCATTTAATTTTAGTTTTCCTTCTTTGTTATCTCCAGCCAAGAGAAAGGAAGTGAGAATTTGAATACGACAAAAATTTCTTGAAGTTTCAAAATTTTAGCAGTGATCTTTTACTGTTTTTTAAGATATTTCTTTTGACGTGATTTATTTTCTCTTTCCCTCAGAATCAAGATTTCTACAGTCTCTGGATGAAGACAACATGACAAAACAACCTGGGGTTCGCCGCTGCTTGTGTTTCCTATAATTATAAACCAATTAAAATGTGTAAACTCAGCATGAGAGGACGTAAGATGAGAGCAGTTTTAACTGGAAGAAATGTCATTGTCTCAGTGTCAGGATAATGGCTTGTTTTTCTTTTTAGTAAGCTGTCAAAATAATTATCTCAAGGCTCTACTAGAGAAATAGATAAGATATATATTTGGAAAACATTATGGATAAAATAATACAGAATATATTTCAAATGTAACTGAAAAGAATGAGGTGAGCATGGATCATTTCATATTGAGATCACCTAACTACTTATATTAGAGTTAACATTTAATAGGGAACTCACTATATAATTAGTAGTTCATCAGCATCTATTAACTATTCATCGTTCTCCACTTTAACACTGTAAGGTAATAAGTGGTATATGCAAGTGTTAATGTTTAAGTAAAATATAAATATAGGGCCGGGCGTGGTGGCCCAAGCCTGTAATCCCAGCACTTTGGGAGGCCGAGGCGGGTGGATCACGCGGTCAAGAGATCGAGACCATTCTGGTCAACATGGTGAAACCCCACCTCTACTAAAAATACAAAAAATTAGCTGGGCATGGTGCTGCGTGCCTGTAATCCCAGCTACTCAGGAGGCTGAGGCAGGAGAATTGCCTGAACCCAGGAGGGGGAGGTTGCGGTGAGCCAAGATCACGGCATTGCACTCCAGCCTGGGTAACAAGAGCGAAACTCTGTCTCAAAAAAAAAAATATATATATATATATTATATATATATATATATATATTATATATAATCTGAAGTAAGGATATTATATTATATATATAATATTTATATTTTTTATAATATAAATAAATATATATTATATTTATAATATAATAACCTTACTTCAGATATTATATATATATAATATCTGATTATTATATATATAAAATATCTGAAGTAAGGATAATTGTACGCAAAATGTCTGCAATTAAATTCATTATCTGCCCTCTCCTTCACTCTCCCCAATCCCTCCCCCTGAAAAAAAGTAGACTTCTCTGTCTGGACTACTTTTGATAACTAATTACCTAAGCCTGGAGTAATTTTTCATTTCTTTCCTTTCCTGCTTCTGCTTATACTCAATTGCTTTTTCTGGATGTCTCTTTCTTTTCTTCTTTAAGTTCATCTTAACCTCTTACTTCTCATTTCCTGCTGCCTCAGTTCCGATTCTCATCTTTTCTTTTCTGGACTAATATCACAATAGGCTTCTAACTCTAGTCCTCTCTTTTTGTTCATTCTTTGCAACATCAGCTAAGTTCTTGTTCCTATGGAGCTAATATTCTACAGGAAGGATATAGACACTGGACAAATTAACAAACTATATCTCAGGCAGTGATGAATGTTATGAAGAAAAATAAAAGAGTAAATGAAGGGAGAGTGAGGAGGATGCCATTTAGACAGGATGAAGGAAAAAGTTAACATTTAATAAGAGATCTGACATGGGAGTAATCTATGTGGGAGAAAAGCTATTCAGATGAGGGCAATAGTAAGTGCAGAGGTCCTGGGGCAGGAGAGTTCTTGATGTGTTAAAAGCTAGAATGGCTGGAGTGAGGTGAACAAGGAGGGAAGTGGTAGTTTATGAGGTAAAGGAGGTCAGAACAATGAGTGATCTTTGGCAGGACACAAACCTCATCTAAGACATGGGACATAGAGGCAGCTAAGTCAGTGGTTCTCCACCCTAGGTGTACATTAAAATAAGTTTAAAAGTTTTTTCAAGCATACTGCTTGAATCTGATCCCTAGAAATTATTATTTTTATTGGCCTAAGGTTGATCTTGGGTATCTGCATCTTTTAAAAATTCCCCCACATGATTCTAAAATGCAGTTAGTTGAAACTCTCCAACTAAATAAACTTTTATTGAATTGAATTAAATTGAATTTAACCAACAGTAAGTATATTCACTCTTGTTCGAGCAGCATTGTCTTTAAGCACAGCACTAATAAATGAATAAATTATGCTGTACTTAAAGACGATGCTAGTAGAATAAGAGAGTTAATTTGAAATTTGTTTTGAAAGCTGTTTTTTTTTTTTTTTTGAGATGGAGTTTCGCTCTTGCTACCCAGGCTGGAGTGCAATGGCGTGACCTCAGCTCACCGCAACCTCGGCCTCCTGGGTTCAGGCAATTCTCCTGCCTCAGCCTCCTGAGTAGCTGGGATTACAGGCACACGCCACCATGCCCAGATAATTTTTTGTATTTTTAGTAGAGACGGGGTTTCACCATGTCGACCAGGATGGTCTCGATCTCTTGACCTCATGATCCACCCGCTTTGGCCTCCCAAAGTGCTGGGATTACAGGCGTGAGCCACCGCGCCCGGCCAGTGAAAGCTGTTTTTTTATTAGTTATGTGGCTGTATGAATGTTATCTAATTACTCTATGACCCCTCTGTGAAAAAACGGGCATATTATATACCTGCTTCCATATATACAATGTTGTGACACAATGCATAATCTGCTATAAAAATGGAGGCTTTCTGGAATCCGGAAGCTTATGTAGAGGAATTGCATATAAACCCCATAATAAGAATAAAGATATTAATCGAAAGCTGTAACTATGCACAATTTCAAAATAAGGTGGGCATTCCAAAAGAATTAGCAGCTAACAGTACACACAGGATTTTGGTAAGAATGGTAAAAGAATAATGGTTTCCTTCAATGGACATTTAAAAGTGTTTAGCAAAGTTTATTGATATGGTGCCCTGGGGATAGAACCGGGAGGTGTGGCTCCTCTGTTTTGTCCTTGAGGAATCTGAGTTCCAGGGAACACAAGAGACTTGCCCTGGGCTATTCAGCAAGTGGTAGAGCCAGAGCTAGAATTTTCATCTCCTAACTCAAAAATCCAGTGTTCTGTGCCCTAAACTAGAAATCAACCAAATTTATGCATATGCGTCTCAGAATGGAAACTCATATTTTTAACTGAAAAATATGAAAACACAAATGAAAAGAATGTAAATAATTTTATTGAAACAGAGGCTAGAACTTTGTACAGAAGAACTTGTAACATTTTATGGGCTTCCTTTCTGGAATATTTCACAACCAGAATTCATAAAAAGCGTATCTGGGCAGAGAAAATAAGACAGACCTGATCCTGCCAGTGATGAATCTACTTCATAGGAATATTCTGGGCACTCCTCTGGAGCCATATCTCTCCTCAGCCATGAGCACACTATTTATGGGCCTAGGTTAATGACTTCCTAAATTACAACCTTAAGGCTTGAAGGAGGTGTCTCCCACAGTGTGTGATTGATTCCCAGGGAGATATAGGGTACCTGGATGAACCCATGGTTGGCTATTCTGAACCTTGTAAGGCTTCTAGGGAAGAAAGGTGCTCATAGATTTAAAAAGATATGCTGCCTTTCATTGTAGAAGAGGCAGAGTTACTTGATAATTAATTACTGGTGACATTTTTGGAAAAATTATGAATTTTATGATCTTCCAGTGATTAAAAATGCCCTTTAAGGAAGTGAACAGCCACAGTAAACACACCGTGTATGTATAAATATGTTCATTGCACACATTGAGGGTGATATGTATGGATATTAATTTATATTTATGCCTTTTGAGAGCGTCGGGAGAGCACAGCAACTTCTCGCTAAGAAGAATGCTACTCTGCAGCAGAAGAACCAAACACTTGGTAAATGGCTTGTGGATATTTCTTGATGTGCAGAACCTCCGCTGGATGGCTCCTGAGGTGTTCACGCAGTGCACTCGATACACCATCAAGGCAGATGTCTTCAGCTATGCCCTGTGTCTATGGGAAATTCTCACTGGCGAAATTCCATTCGCTCATCTCAAGCCAGGTAAGACATGCTGCAATTAAAGTTTTCCTGTTTTAGGAAGTTCGTTGCATTTTTATGACTTCAAGAAACATTTTCTCCAAAATGATTGGTCTCAGTGAGATGGCGAAAGAGGAGGTGAGCAATCTTAAATTATTTTAAGGTGTGTGCCCAGTCCAGAAAATTTAATGACTTAACTGTGATTTCAGACATAGACACATAGAAATGTAAGTATATTTTATTAAAGTTTAGGACTTTGATTTATTGGTTGTTAATAAAACAAGCAACTAACTATGACCATGTGGCATGTGAGGCAAATGAGGTGGACAATGTGATATTTATTTTTTGAGAATAGATTTTAGAATTACCCTTTTAATATGTATATAGGGATAAGAAAGTAGTAACACAAAAATAACATATTAGGGCTGCTCTCTGTTTTTCTCACATAATACAAAAGAATATTGATTTTCCTAACACTTTCGTGTTTTGTGCATAGATAGATACATTCTAAAAATGGGACATGCAGTGAGTCTAGTGTTCATTGATGATAAACATTATCCTTTACTTACATATAGAAAGTGAAGGTGAGGAATCTAATCACAGGCAAAATATACACGTACATTAGTTTTAAAGTAAACTTCATTTGCATATAGCTGTCAATTGTATTTGGATAGCTCTCATATGTTGTCACACTAGAAATGTCTTCTTAAGGACTTTGCATCCCTAAAAGTTAGCACATTTGTAAAGTAGTTGTCAAATGTCATCATAAGTAAATTTTAAATAATTATATTGTAATCTCCTAATGGCCACCCTATAACAATATATAAAAAGGATGAAGTCAAAAGACATGTTACTTAAACATCCCTTTTAACAAGTTAAAAGTCTTAACCAATATCAAAATATATGAGTACTCACGTACAGAGAGGAAGCCATATCTCATCTCATACTCTATTTTTGGAGTACTTTTTTCCCCAAGCTACCACATGGTCTTTTAATTGCACTCTGCATAGCAGAGTGCTTTTCACAGGTTATGTGCTTTGTGCGAAGTTTGTTCAGCATAACGATATTGTAATTGTCCTAATTTTTCTCCACATATTTTCTAAAGTTTTAAACTATACTTAGCCCTTATTATAGTGTGAATGTGTGTACTCTATTTTAAGCTGGACCAACGTTGCCATTTGTAAGGTCTTGTTTGATGTCCTTCCTTCTCTCTACTTCTGAGGGTGTACATCCTGGTAAGAATGATGGATATACAAAAAATTGACTATAACTTTAGATGTACTGTGGTGTTTTTTTCATAAGAGAGAAATACAACTCCTTTTTCCTCATTCCCTGTGTCAATCAGTTAACCTAGCCCTATTGATTTTACCTTCTAATACATCTTGGGTTTCTCTACCACCTACCGTAATCCACCACCATCCTGGCCCAAGCTTTCTTTCATTTAAACCACTGCAATAGTCTTTTAAAAAATCAGGTTTATTGAGGTATTATATATATGCAGTAAAATTTACCTTTCTAGGTTAATAGTTAGATGAGTTTTTATACATATATACAGTTGTATAACTACAACTGCAATCACAATGTAGAACATTTCCATCACTCCAAAAAGTTCTCAGTGCCTCTTTGGAGTCAGTCCACTTCTCATACCTCCAGCCCTTGGCAACCAATGATCTCTTTTCTGTCCCCATAAGCTTGCTTGTATACCAATGTCATATAAATGGAATCATGTTGCATTTATCAGTGATTCATTCTTTTTCTGTGTAATATTTCTAATTGTAGATGTACCATGATTTGTTTATACAATGGAAGTTCGTGCCTTTTGAGTTCTTCTCATTTTAAGGTTACTAGGAATAAATCTGCTCAAATAATTGAGACCTTTGTGTAGTTGTTTTCATTTCCATTGGATAAATGAGTAACAGATGGTGCTACATGTTATAATAAGAGTTTTTCCAAGGTGTCTGTACCATTAGGGATTTCCAACAATAATCTGTGAGAATTTCAGTTGTTTCACACCCTTGCCAGCACTTTGGATTGTCTCTTTTTAAATATCTATGTATATATTAGCCATTTGAGGGGGTGTATGTGGAATGTCACTGTGATATTTACATTTCTCTGATGACTAGTAATGTTGATATTTTTATGTACATATTTGGTATCCATATTTCTGTCATAAAATGTTTGTTTAAATAGTCTCATCATTTAGTTGTAAGAGCTCTTAGATTATAGGGAGAAGTACTTTATCCACTACTTGTTTTGCAAGGATTTTTCTATAATCTGTGGCATGCCTTTTTGTATTCTTAGCAATGTCTTTCAAGGAGCAGATGTTTTTAATGTCAATGAAATCCGTCTTACCAAAATTTTAAATTATTTTGTATCATATCTAAAAATATTTTTGCCTTATTCAGAGTCATAAAAACTTCCTCCTACTTTTTGTATGGAAGTCTTACAAGTTTAGGTTGTATAAGATCTACCTTGAATTTTATTTTTTAAAGTACGATATGGGTTGAATTTGTTATTCTTTGGTTTGTCCATTTGGTTTTTGAATACAGATGTTCAATTGTTTTGACATGATTTAAAAATGCTATCCTTTCTTATTAAATTATTTTGGTACATTTGTCAAAAATCAGTTGACCCTATATGTATGCATTTACTTTCAACTCTATTCTGTTTCACTGGTCATGTGTCTAACCTTAAATCAATAACACACTATCTTAATATATTATAGAAAGTCATGGAAATAAGTAATGTGAATCCTCTAAGTTTGTTCTTCTGTGTTAAAAAGGCTTCAGTTGTTTAGGTTTTCTGTTTTTCATATAAATTTTAGAATCAGGTTGTCTATATTCCTATAAAAAACTTGTTGAAATTTGATTCAATTGCAGTGAATTATTAGATAAATTTGGGAAGAATGAACATCTTCATGTTAGTCTTCTGGTCAATAAACATGGTTTCTTTCTTTCTTCACTTAGGTCTTCTAAAATTTCTGCCATCATGTATTTTGTGGTTTTTAGCTTAGAAACTTGAATAATTTTTATTATACCTATCTCTATCTACTTTGTGTCTCTTGATGCTATTGTAAATGTTACTCTTAAAAATATCAGTGTCCTAATTAGAAGTAAAATACTCCTAAGCAAATGCAAATGAACTGAAATTGTAACAAACAGTCTCTCAGGCCACAGCACAATCAAATTAGAAGTAAAGATTAAGAAACTCACTAAAATTCACGTAACTACATGAAAAATTGAACAACCTGCTTTTGAATGAATCTTAGGTATAAAATGAAATTAAGGCAGAAATTAACAAGTTCTTGGAAACCAATGAGAACAAAGAGACAATATTCCAGAATCTCTGAGATGCAGCTAAAGCAGTGTTAAGAGATAAATTGATAGCACTAAACGCCTACCTCAAAAAGATCTCATATTGACATCCTAAAATTACAACTAAAAGAACTAGAGAACCAAGAGAAAACTACCGCCAAAGTAGCAGAAGAAAAGAAATAACCAACATCAGAGTGAATTGAAAGACATAGAGATACAAAAAACCCTTCAGAAAATCCATTAATCCCAGAGGTGGATTTGAAAAAAATTGATAAAATAGACCACTAGCTAGACCAATAAAGAAGAAAAGAGAGAAGAATCCAATAGACATAATAAAAATAATAAACTGAATATTACTTCTGACCCCACAGGAATATAAACAACCACCAGATAATACTATTAATACCTCTATGAAAATAAGGAAAATCTAGAAGAAATGGATAAATACCTGGATATGTATACTCCCTCAGGAAGGAGTTGAACCCCTGACCAGACCAATCACAAGTTCTGAAATTTAGGCAGTAATAAATAGGCTACCAACCAAAAAAGGCCCAGGACCAGATGGATTTATATCTGAATTCTACCTGAGGTATCAAAAGGAGCTAGTACCATTTCTTCAGAAACTATTCCAAACAATTGAAAAGGAAGGACTCCTCCCTAACTCCTGTTATGAGACTGTAATCATCTGATACCAAAACCTAGCAGAGATACAACAAAAAAAGAAAACTTCTGATCAATATCTGTGATATAAATCAGGGCAAAAATTCTCAATAAAATACTGGTAAAGCAAATCAAATCCAGTAGCACATAAAAAAAGCTTACCCACCAGAATCAAGTTGGCCTCATCCCCAGGATGTAAGGCTGGTTCAACAAATCAATAAACGTAAGTTATCACATAAACAGAACTAAAGACAAAAACCTCATGATTATCTCAATAGGTGTGGAAAAGGCCTTTGATAAAATTCAACATCCCTTCATGTTAAAAACTCTCAATAAACTAGTTATTGATGGAACATTCCCCAAAATAATAAGAATCATTTATGACAAACCCACAGCCAATATCATACTGAATGGGCAAAAGCTGGAAGCATTTCTCTTGAAAACTGGCACAGGACAAGGATGCCCTCTCTCACTGCTCCTATTCAACATAGTATTGCAAGTTCTGGCCAGAACCATCAGGCCAAGTGAAATAAATTAAACAGATTCACATAAGAAGAGAGAAAGTCAAACTGTCTCTGTTTGCAGATGATATGATCCTATGTCTAGAAGACCCCATTGTCTCAGCCCAGAAACTCCTTAAGCTGATAAGCAACTTCAGCAAAGTCTGAGGATACAAAATCAATGCGCAGTAATCATAACCATTCCTATACACCAGCAATAGACAAGAAGAGGGGCAAATCATGAATGAACTCCCATTCACAATTGCTACAAAGAAAATAAAATACCTAAGAATACAACAAACAAGGGAAGTGAAGGACCTCTTCATGGAGAACTACAAACCACTGCTCAAGAAAATTAGAGGTGACACAAACAAATAGAAAAACATTCCATGCTAATGGAGAGAAAGAATTAATATCATGAAAATGGCCATACTGCCCAAAGTAATATATAGATTCAATGCTATTCCCATTAAATAACCATTGACATTTTTCACAGAATTAGAGAAAAATATTTTAAAATTCATATGGAACCAAAAAAGAGCCCATATAG